TGGGTCGGTGTTTTCGTCAGTGGCGTATCTGGCAACTCAGTCGAGTGGCGAAAGGGATCTTTTGGTTGGGTTCAATCTAATTATAATTTTTTGTTTTAAAATACATAAAAATAAATGAATATGTATGAGTGAGTGTGTGCTGAGAGAGGTCAAAAGGGGTAGATAGATAGATAGAGAGAGAGAGAGAGGGAGAGAGAGAGTTTCAAAATGTCATAGATATGTGTAATTCCTAATGTTTCAAATGACCAGTGCACGTTACAGGGCATTTTTGAATTGCATCCATACTTTCAATTACTGCTGTCATTTTCACCCAGAGACATTATAACATATCAGGCACTTATAACACATCTTTTGAACCCAGACGTTTAATTTAGGTTTAAAGTTATCAGATTTCAGAAGAAAAATTGATTATTTTTTTTTTTTTTATGGTTTAAAACAGTTTTTTCCCCTCATCTCTAGGAAATGTTGAAAAATGTTGTAGTGTTACTACAACTGTATTATGAATCTTTTATACATGTTTCTTATCACACACTGACATTTGCAGATAACTTTTTTAAAATTCTATACGCCAATAGATTACCAGAAACAGCACCCTTTTTGGGTCTGTACGGTTTCTTCAACTCCACCAAAACTTATTTTATTTTGTGATTTTAAAGGGGGCCTGGACAATGAGTAAAAAATATATGACCGTTAAATTTTGTTCCCGTTCGATAGGAAAAAAAAATTTCTTTACATAATTAAATGTTATGCCCTCAGGCGAGTCTCAAAAATAAGTATATCCCTATTTTAAAACTGTCTTGAAAGTGACTAAGGAATTTATCTCTCCAAAACATCAATTATTTTGTATCTTAAAATACAAACATTTGGAACGCAACCAAATTTTAGTCCGAAAAAAAAAATTGAATTTTACAGTACGACGGCGAGTGTTGTAGTTCAAAAGCCTGGCAGGAATGCGTGAGGGTGAAAATGAACCATCTCGCAAGTGCGCACAACTTAGTGGACCGTAATTACAGTGTCCCCGCCCAGCCCAGGTCAGTAACTCACAGACCGGAGGAAGGCACATTCACCCCGAGACCGGTCATTAATTAACTAATTATTTAGCTTCGCGGCTCACCGTTTACAGTTTTCCCATGTGCAGTTTTTATATTGAGAAATCCCCATCTCATACAGTGTTAGTGATTTCAATGTGGAACTTTTCTGAGCATTGATCAAGAACTCTGCACGACGATATTAAATCGCTTGGAACATAGCAGACACGCAGAACTTCTACAATAAGTTTTTGTTGTGTACGGTTTGCGACCGGAAACGAGGCTATTTCAGCGTCTGAGATTCGAAGAGTTCAGATTACACAAGTATTGCCACTGAATTCTGATCTATTTCTTATGAAGTTTCAATTTGATAAATTAAACTTTAAAATTTAAAAAAATAAAAATAAATAAACAGTGAATGTTTGAGTATAATGAATAATTGGCCCACACGAGACGTAAACAATTTTAACGTTTATTATTTTGTTTTAAATGTGATATCATGATACAAACCATTATTTCTTTTTAATTTCATTAAATTATTATTCTTCTACTTAATTTTTTAGTGGCCGGGACGAGGGAAGGGGGCGGTGCTTCGTTATCAATTACTTCTTTAAATAGTTTTAAACGTGTTTCTACTTTGTACTCTCCCCTTGTCATACAGATATCTAGACTTGGTAACAGGGCACCCCATCACATGTTTATGAAGAACAAGTTAATAAGTTAGTGTGCACATTTTAGGATTAAGGCTAGATGACAACGAAGCATTATTACTTACATTGTGTTTTTTTTTTGTTTAACTCAGCAGGATGAATACTTATCAATAGCGTAACTTTATGCAAATACGTGGAAAGGAAATAACCTGTTTGGAATCGTTCTTCGGAAAATCAACGCTATTAATTTAACCGTGACTTTAAAACACTTTGAAATATCACTTTGTGGACAATGTGGTTTCTGATGGAGCTTCTTGCACTAGTGACGTCAGTCTTGATTCTAAGCCTTGTCTCACAAACGGAATGTGACAACATGTGTAAGTTCCAATATTTCTTTCTTTGACAATATGTTTAAGTTCCAATATTTATTACTTTGACAATGTCTTAAAACTTTGAAAATTGGGATTTTTTTAAAAAGTTCTTATAATTTCTATTAGATAATGGATTTTTATCTTTAATGATTTGAAGCGTACGGAATATTGAGTGCGGGGAAGGGGGGGGGGTACTTTTGGAGTGAATGGAGCCTCTTTGGAAAGCTGAGTCCTGCAGTGACGTGTAGCTTTACAGAAAGCAAGTTTTTTAAAACTAAAAAATACAGTTTAACAATTTTTAATAATGTTTTAAAAATTTTGTAATCATTGTGTCAGGTTTAAATATTGAGAACTTGGTTCTTTGTGCTGGACCTTTTGGTACAGAGATGCAGAATACTCGTTCCAAGGCTATTCACTGTTTAATAATACTTTACCCATGATAGCAAACTAAAAAAAATATCCAACACCAAATAGAAATACAATTCATTGTGTTATTTGAAAATTTTTTTCATCTAAAGTTTGCTATTCCAGTTACAAATAAATTTTTTTTTCTGTTTTTTTTTTTTTTTTTTGAAATCAGCTTGTGCAAAAATCGAACGGCGGAACATGAAGTTTAACTTGCGGAGCAAAGGAAAGTTTGCCAGGTTCAAGTGCAATAAGGGCTACGAGCTGCTCGGACACGCCACTGCCGTGTGTCAGAGCAGCGGGGCTTGGAGTGTGGAGATCCCACGATGTATAGGTGAGTAGAGTGTGACAAAAGACTTAGTGCTAACATAATCTAAGGCCATGGTTAAACCTTGCTGATATTTCCTCTCGGCCTACAACAGCGATGTCATTCGTGATTTATTTTAATGCGGAAGGAAATAAAAGATTAAAGTTTAATGTGATTTCCGCTATTTCGTTTCGGGTGCGTACTTCCCTCTTGTATAAAGCAGCATCTGTGCTGAATTACTCTCTTAGCAACCATCAGGATGTATAAGCTCAATGCAGTGACTAAATAAAGCTTTGCTGCTGAATATGTCTATGTTTAGAGCATCAAAGTGTTTCAATCGGAATGATTTGAAAATATTTTTTTTTTCTCGCCCGGCCGTACTTTATGGGTCGTACTTTGTCGGTCATACTTTGTGGGTCGTACTTTGTCGGTCATACTTTGTGCGCCGTACTTTGTCGGTCATACTTTGTGGGTCGTACTTTGTCGGTCATACTTTGTTGGCCGTATTTTGTCGGTCATACTTTATGGGTCGTACTTTGTCGGTCATACTTTATGGGTCGTACTTTGTCGGTCATACTTTGTGGGCCGTACTTTGTCGGTCATACTTTGTGGGCCGTACTTTGTCGGTCATACTTTATGGGTCGTAATTTGTCGGTCATACTTTGTGGGTCGTACTTTGTCGGTCATAATTTGTGGGCCGTACTTTGTCGGTCATACTTTGTGGACCGTACTTTGTCGGTCATACTTTATGGGTCGTACTTTGTTGGTCATACTTTATGGGTCCTACTTTGTCGGTCATAATTTATGGGTCGTAATTTGTCGGTCATACTTTGTGGGCCGCACTTCGTCGGTCATACTTTGTGGGCCATACTTTGTCGGTCATACTTTATGGGTCGTACTTTGTCGGTCATACTTTGTGGGCCGTACTTTGTCGGTCATACTTTGTGGGTCGTACTTTGTCGGTCATACTTTGTGGGCCGTACTTTGTCGGTCGTACTTTATTGGCCGTACTTTGTCGGTCACACCATGTCGGTCGTACTTTGCGTACTCTGTGGACCCTCCATTGTCGACCGTCCATTGCCAGCCGCACTTTGTCGACCGTGCATTGTCGGCCGTACTTTGTCGATAAGACAATAAGGAAGCTTTTCCCAACTGTATGGCATGTATTGGGTATGCGAGAAAATTATAATGAATGTGAAGCCATTTTATGTTATGATTTAAATGTATTTCTGGTTTTTTTTCTTCGATTTATTCACTTACGTTGTATTCTATTGATGAGCGCCGTGCCATATGGCGAATACTCAGAGCTCTTGAGATGTTTTGGCAACAGGAATGAACATATCCTTTTAAATATATAATATCGACTGCTCTTTACCGTTTTGTTGAGCGGTACTTTAACATTATTTTTCGAAATTTTTTATTTACTTCAAATTGCATCCATAACAGCTACTACTCTATTCATATTATGCGGTTTAGTTATTGCCTGTAATACACGTCTGTTTAAACAATGTTCGCTGTTCCTCAATACTCTCACGGACCTTCACCCGGCCGATTCTTATGGCGCCATAATAGTCTAAATGCACCTTACATAGCATTCAACGTTTCATCGTAATTTCAACGCATTAATTTATAAAAAAGGGTAAACAATTTATGCAAGCCACAGCTTCTTGGATCCAATGAACCCCTCTAGCCGCTTTAGAGCGCAGAACGCGTTAGATCGCATTTCAATTCAAGACTGCTTCATTTTATGGCGTATACCTAGCCTCACCGATGATGATTTGTAAGCATCAGTTTAAAGACGTTTCAGGCTCATTAACGTACTTATACAATATACATAAATATATATGCGTGTTCTTTTTACGGGCTATCTCATTTTCTTCACTGAATTTCCTCCCCCCCCCATCCCCCCAACCCCCCATCCCCCCCCATCCCCCCCCATCCCCCCCAT